AGACAACCGATGGACGAAGCGGATAATGGATTGGTACCCACGCGCGATGAAACGAACACTGGGGAGCCCGCCAGCACGATGGCGAGATCCAATCGTGCGCCTTTATGGTGTCATCTGATCTCGTCAGGCTCCGCATCGATCGAAATGGAGAAGTTGCCAGCTGCATCGATGGCGTGACATCAGGGATCGATGAAACAACAGCTGTTCAAGGTATTCAAGGCAAGGTATATATATATATTCGTACAGAGACACGCATAACATGGGTCTTCACAATATCAGTTTTTATGCGTTTTTGCATATATGTAAATTGCAAAAACGCATATTGGGAAGAGGCTTGTGTGTGTGTGTGTGTGTCTTGTGTGTATGTGTGTATCTGTCTGTGTTCCACTTTTTGTCACCCACTTTCAACTCGAGACCCAGAAAAGCTAGAAGGCTGAAACTTTGGGGGTATGTGCCCATACTACACGCGACCCTCCCGTTTTAGTTTCATCCTCCTTGGACGTCTGGCTGCCGTGTACTGACGCTTTAAAAAAATATGCAAATTTTTTGGCGGGAAGGCGATCTTGGGGACTACATGACCTGAGGAGTCGAAACTTTGTAGGGATATTCCCTATGCATTCACTAGCTAAAGGTTTCAAACTCGGCTCCAGGTGTGCGTGGTACTCATGTAAGAGCGTATGAAAGTTTTAGGGGGAAAATTCCTAACTCGGGTACCTGAAAAGCTAGAAAGCTCAAACTTTAGGGGAATGTTCCTTATCCAAGCGCTACTCAAATGTTTCAAATTCAGCCCCCTCGTATGCATGGTACTCACGTAAGGGCGTATGAAAGTTTTAGGAGGAAAATTGCTAACTCGGGTACCAGGAAAGCTAGAAAGCTGAAATTTTGGAAGAATGTTCCCTATCCAAGCATGACTCTAATGTTTCAAATTCAGCCCTAAACTGTACGTTGTATTCACGTCAGTGCGTATGGAAGTTTCTGCAGTAAAATTACTAATTCGGCAACCAGAAAAGCTGGAAGGCTAAAATTTAAGGGGATATTCTCTGTCCAAGTGTAATTTAAAATTTCAAATTCAGCTTTCCAGACACGCTGAGTACCCACGTACGG